AATTTTAAAGAAAGTTGTGATATAGTTTTACAATAATATAGATATACAACAAATATGAAGTTAGGAGTGCATGATGATGGAAACATTGTTTTTACCCTACATTGTTTTAGACGTCCATGAATAATATAATATAATGCTGTATTATTATTATTCTTGTCAGGGACGCCGGAACTGGGGGGGGGCAGGGGGGGCGGCTGCCCCCTTGCCTTTTGCTAGGGGGGGCAGAAGTGCCCTTTTAGTTGTAAAATAATACGTGATAAATCACATTTCCAACGATGCTTTTTGTAGGAAAATCACGAGATTCAGGTAATTTATAGTTTATATTTATAAAAATTTTGGGAAGTTTTTGGAATTTAGAAAAATATTTTGAAGAAATGGCGAAAATTTAAGATATCCGGAAAAATTTTTGGGTTCACGGAAAATTTTTGCATGTCCGGAAAAAATTTTTGACCCCTAAAATGGTACACTGACCAAAATTTTTTTTCAGTAAAGGTGCCCTTGGTGTGCGTCCGCCCCCCTTTGCCCTATTATCGTTCCGGCGTCCCTGATTCTTGTGTTTGATAATAAATTTTAGCTTGTTTTTTGAACGATTGGTAAAATTGGATGGATTTTAAACCTTCGTTCAAATTATTCCAAATATCTACTCCTTTATTGGAGAGAGTATGTTTCATATAATTAGTTCGTGTGTAGGTTTTATGTAGTTTTTTGGAACTTCTAGTATTGTGATTATGAATTTCATTATTAGTTTTGAAAAAATTGTTGAAAATTTCGGGCATATTGTTCATGTTGTAAAATTGAAACATAAATAAACTGGTCAAATAATCATTTATTTTGTAAATATTTAATAGATTTAATTTTTTGAATAATGGTTCCGTGTGCTCAGAATACGGTTTGAAAGCGATTAGACGCACAATCTTCTTTTGGACACTCATCAATTTTTGAAATTTTGAAGGGCACGTGTTACTCCAAGCTAAATTAGCGTAAGTGAGATAAGGATAGACAAGGGCATAGTAAAGCAATTTTAATGTATTTTGATTCGTATAATGCCGAATTTTAGAAATAATTCCGGTTGATTTAAATATTTTTTTAAAACTGAACCAATGTGATTATTCCATGTGAGTGTTTCATCGATTAGAACACCCAAGAATTTTGTACATTTCACTTGTTCGATCGACTGGTCATTTATTTTAATGCTAGCTTTCATTCAACATTATTTCCATATTCTTTCCATGACATGTATATGATTTAACGATTGCTTAAATCTGGTATGTGCATGGTTGACAAATGCTTTTTGCCTATGGTCTGCAAGGACAATGACATGCTTTTCTGTGTATATACAAACACCTAAACCTGCCTCGTCCCCAGGCGCTAATTAAAAATTTCATGCGAGTCACTATATGAAAGATTTACATGAAGTAGTGCATCGCGATGAGCAAGCGCAGGGGGTTATGGGCTTGAGGCACCAGAACGCTCATATCCCACTCCCCTTTGCGCGCCTAGAATGTGACGCACTACTTCATGTAAACCTTTCATATAGTGACTCGCATGAAATTTTTTTATTAGCGCCTGGGGACGAGGCAGATTAAACACGCAAATTTTAATTAGTGAGACGCAATGTTAAATGTCACCTGCATGTCATTGTATTGCCCTTTAATTAACCCCTGGTCTAATTGGCCGCTTTTGAAAATATTGATCATGACGAACCGCACTGCCTTAATTAAATGCAAACTTTGATTTTTAAAAACGGGATAGGATAAAACGCGGATACGGACGGACGGATGAATGACGGACGGACCGGACGGATGACATATATATGTCATTATATAGTCTGCGCGCAACCGCGCAGGGTAGTTAGTGCCTTACGTCTTCGCTGGTTGTTATACTTTAAAATAATTTTGTATGTACCAAGAAATCAATGTTTCGACTATATAAATATATAAACTGGGATGTCACACTGATAGCTTGTTTACATTTCCTGGAGCATCATGAAATCTTGTTAATAACTATAAAGGCGATCAGTGCAGGGACAGCGTAAATTCTGAAATTTATGATAAATTCATGCTGAATCTAAATTCATGAAATCATAGTGTTCTAAATATAAATGCCTTCATGTATATAATATTACCAAAAATAAATAAAGCTATCCTTACCTGAATTATTGAAAATATTGTCCATGTTTTGCATCATGAAAATGTAAATAAGCTCGTACAGTGCATTTGTGCAAGACAAAATAAAATTTGACCGCCCCCCTCGTTTAAAAAAAACTTCCTGAATCTTTAATTATTTCCCCGGAATTACGACATCTTTACCGACAGACACAAAATCGAGATCTCGACAATACATAGCTCGGGCAAAGAGACTGGACACAAGTGAACGCGATACTTCATGTTAAGAATAGTGTGCTGCCTTCGGCAGCAACAATGTATAAACTTTTATTTCTTTAAAAATATCGTCGAATTATTGAGCCTTTTGTGTGGTAAAACACTGTGGTGTATTACAGTCAAACCGGATGTTCTTTTCCCCTGAATATTGCAATATTGTTGGGAATATTGCAATTTTGATTGCGAGATTGCTCTGAGCAAGTTGCAACCAACGTGATCAAATTGCAAGTTGAAATTCACAACCAGATTTGTAAACAATGTCTCTGATTGGCTACTAGTTGCAAAGAAGAACCAATCCATTTGCTCAGAGTATTTGATTGGTTCTTCTTTGCTACTAGTAGCCAATCAGAGACTTTGTTTACAAATCTGGATGTGAATTTCAACTTGCAATTTGGTCACGTCGGTTGCAAATTGCTCAGAGCAATCTCGCAATCAAAATTGCAATATTCCCAACAATATTGCAATATTCAGGGGAACAGAACATCCGTTTTGACTGTAAAACCAAAAAACCAAAACGTTGTTTACATCATAGGTTTACACGTTGTCGTCCTATTTACCGCGGGCTCGCTTAAGACTCAGTCAGTACTTTATGTAAGTCTGTTATCGTATCGAAAGTTCTAACAACGTCTGAAGTCATACCAACACAACGCAACTGTTCTTTTGCATATAACTGATCAGTATCTATTGAACATGGACAAAGGCATATTAAATGGTGTCTTGTTCCTTGGTCTTAAAAAGGCGTTCGATACGGTTGATCACCAAATTTTAATTTCAAAACTAAAGATTTATGGAATTGGAGGAGTAGCCCTGAATCTTTTAAAATCATACATAAGCAATAGAATACAAAGGTGCATGCAAGATACAAGAAATTGATTCACAGCCGAATGTAATAACATACGGAGTACCACAAGGTTCTAATTTGGGTCCATTATTTTTCAGTTTATATTTATGATCTTCCAAATTCCCTGGAAGAAACCCAGGCCTCAATGTTTGCAGACGATACCAGTATATCAAGTTCTGGCACTTCGCTTTTAGAGATTGAGAATAAGATAAACAATGATCTGTACAATGTTAATATCTGGCTAGAGACAAACAAGCTAACTCTTAACACAGAAAAAACATAATTTATGTTAATAGCGTCAAAGAGAAAACTGAAACAATATTCAGGAAATCCCAACATAACTATTGCTAGCCATAACATTAAACACTCAGGTCATAAACAAAAAAGTATTAGGGATTATTCTGGATAAAGAATTAAAATGGAGAGAGCATATAGATGCACAATGTAAAAACTGACATCTCAAAATCTATTGCATTGCTAAGACGAGCGAAAAGTTTTGTAAACTTGGAGACGTACGCTCATTACTATGTATAACTCATTAGTTTTACCTCACTTTACATACTGTTCAACCGTGTGGAGTTATGATAGTTGTATACATAACAATAAACTCTATAAAATGCAAAAAAGAGCTGCTCAAGTGATCACTGGATCAAGCTATGAAATAAGATCTAGGGAAATCTTTGAACGCTTAGGCTAGGTGTCGAGAATTGCATAGTTTGTTAAATGACACTATAGTAAATCTTATATGACTTTTAAGTGTAGTATTTGCTTGCGCATGCGCGTTAGTGCTCGCTTACGAACACGTTTTAGATTCGTAACATTCATATAAAACGACCGTTTTGGACCATAGTTTTGGAACTTTATGTTAGTTATGTCATGTATTAAGATGTCAAATATATTCATATAAACAATCCACATTTTGGTGCCGTGACCAGTTATATTATGGAAGAATTATTCATTCATTCATTCATTCAAGACTTCGAGCGTCCCAAAAAGCTTATCGAGCACACCTCACAGCACTTTTACAAGAAGATTATAGAATTGAAATCCGCCACGACTATCGATGAACTTCACATTGCCACGCTCGAAAACTACTGTCAACAACTCAAAAGAAAGAAAGACATCTTATCACCACTCGATGAACAAATTGCGAAAGCTATCACCAAACCCGAAGACCTTGAATGTGAGATTTTTGAAACGGAAGAAATGCACAGCACAATTGACGAAAGGTTCAGTGAACTTACCACATTTATTGAGGTAAAACGTAACGAATTAAAGCTTAACGTTACTGTACAATCATCCAATAACACTAATGAGTCATCCCCAGAAACCTCACCCCAATCAGAACAGCCTATTCAACAGGAAAATATCCATCAACCAGAAATGAGTCAAAGCCCAGTTGGACCCAATTCCCAAACAGAGGAAACCTCAGCTTCCAACAACACTATTCAAAATCAAACACTGATAAATAACAATAACAATGGTGCCAGGGCCAGTGGTTCTTATCCATCAGTTAGTCGACTGCCAAAGTTATCCCTACCTACATTTTCTGGGGACCCCCATTGCCTGGCAAAACTTCTGGGACTCGTTTAAGACAACCATCCATTTAAACCACACACTGCATGATGTTCAAAAATTCAACTATCTAAAGGCTCAACTTACAGGTGATGCAGCGAGAGTTATAGCAGGTTTCCCTATCACAAGTGCCAACTACAAACATTCAATTGATCTCCTAATTGAGAGTTTTGGTCAACAACAAAATAGAGAACCACATCCGAGGCCTTGCCTCACTTGGCCAGTCAAAAGATTCCTATGCGGCCCTTCTTATACCAATAATTTTTGGGAAATTACCAGCTGAAGTTAGGCGAAACCTAGCCCGAGAACATCTCACCTTAGAATGGTCAATTGACCAACTGCGAGATGCCCTCCTTAAAGAAATCAAGATCCTTGAAGCTGGTCTGCACACAGACAAAACTAAATCAGAGCTTAGTCCTGACCACACTGCTACAGCTGCATTTCATACTGGTTCAGGGGGGACAACAATACTCAGAAAAGAAATCAAGGTGACAAGACCCCACACTGTGCATACTGTAAGGGTACACATTCCTCACTTCGGTGCGAAGTAGTGACTGATCCAGAAAAACGATTGACGATTATTAAACAAGCAAACTTGTGTTTTAATTGCCTTGGACACCACAAGGTGTCACAGTGTCGATCCAAATATCGTTGCAGAACATGTACACGCAAACATCACACCAGCTTGTGCAAACCTCAGAAACCACCCATCAAAGATCCCCCAGAACGGGCAAACGAGGAACAAGGGGGAAAATCTGTCCACACCACACTAATCCCTGCGGCCCCAACATCAATCGCAAATACTCAAGGAAACGAAACTACTATTTGTTTACTGGAAACCGCTATTAGTACTGTCTCCTTAGCTAACTAAAGAGCTGTTGCAAACATCTTGTTTGACGAGGGAGCCCAGTGCTCCTTTATCACCCGTGAATTAGCCGACAAGCTTCACGCATGTCCCCAACAAACTAAAGATATCCAGATTTCAACATTTGGGGGAGAACAACCAAACAGTCACACATTAGAAACCGTTACCATCAACATCGAAAGCATCACAGGTGATAAAATACCAGTTAGTGTTTTGGTCGTTCCAAAGATTGCCACACCTTTGCAAAATCGTATTCGCACCAACGTCCAGACTCTCCCATACCTAAAGGGAACCCCACTCGCCCACCAATTACCTCAGACGAGAAATTTGAAGTCTCGCTCTTGATTGGAGCAGATCACTACTGGGAAATAGTCCAAGACCATATTATCAGAGGAGCTGGTCCAATAGCTATGGAGTCTAAACTTGGATATCTGCTATCGGGACCCTTACCCCTGGGAGAAGCCCCATCGAACACCACCATGTTAAATGCCATTACCATGCCTCATCATCAAGTAGAGAGCATGGACCCCAATCGGTTTTGGGATCCACCACCCTTAGATTTGTTAATGACCCCCACAGAACCAACGACCAGCTAGACTGCGATTGGGAACTTCAAGGAAACTAACATCACTCGCTCTCCTGATGGCACTTATTGTGCAAGATTTCCGGATCCATGGAGGACGGAGCATCGCCCACTACCATCCAACTACGCTGTATGTGCGAAGAGAACACGACTTCTAGCTCGTCGCCTTGGACAGGACCCCAAACTCTTGAAGACCTATAGTTACATCATTGCAGACCAAGAAGAGAAAGTATTCATTGAAAAGGTGTCTACGACCAACATGTCAGATAAGATCCACTACATTCCCCACCACTCTGTAAAAAAGGACTCTACCACCACACCTATTCGAATTGTATATGACTTTAGCTGCCACCAGTCAACAGACCACCCAAGTTTGAATGATTGTCTTCTGTCAGGTCCACCATCGCTAAATGATATGTGTTCAACTCTTCTGCGCTTTCAAACCCACCCATTTGCATTTTCAACCGATATAGAGAAGTCATTTCTACATGTTCAACTCCACGAAGATGACAGAGACCGTATCCGATTCCTGTGGCTTTCTCAACCTGATGATCCCGAAAGCGTGTTTCAAGCCTACCGATTCAAAGTTGTGTTGTTTGGTGCTACATGCTCACCATTAATGCTCAGCTCAGCACTCGAATCCCACCTCGACCAATACAGTTCAAAGATTGCTACCGACATGAAAGAAAACCTATATGTTGATAATCTCATTTCCGGACAGCCCACAGAAAATGATGTCACCCACTATTACAAGTCGGCGCGATCCATTATGTCCTCTGGTAACTTCAACCTTCGAGCTTGGGCATCCAACAGTCCACAACTTAAGAGCCTCTGTCTACAAGAAGGAATTGCTGATACTAAAACTACTGTTAATGTTCTCGGCCTCCAGTGGAATACGTTGATAGACACTTTGTCCATCACCCCTAAACACATCTCCCCATCCCTCAACTTACCGACCAAAAGAGAAGTCCTCAGCAATTTCTCGAAGATCTATGACCCGCAGGGCCTGTTATCCCCGGTTACTATTAGAGCTAAGTTACTCATGCAAGAAAAATGGGACGAACCACTTTCACAAGAACTGAGCGAGAAGTGGTTAAGCATAGCCGAAGATAACGACACTTTTTCAGGGACCATGAACTTTCCGAGATGCCCCATCGCAATCAATCCTAACAATACCAAGCCCGAGCTCCATGTCTTCTCGGATGCAAGTATAAAGGCCTATGGCGCCGTTGCTTATCTCCGACACGGTCCGCAAATCGCAATTCTTGTGGCTAGAACACATGTTGCACCCCTGAAGAAACTAACCCTACCTAGACCCGAGCTTATGGGTGCTGTCACCGCCGCACAGTTGGCCAGCTATGTCAAGAACGCACTTGCTACAACTACCATACAGTGACCTCACTGTGAGGCTTTGGACGGACAGTCAAATAGTCTTACATTGGTTGTCCAGCAACAAACGTGTAAGCCAGTTCATCACGAACCGTGTTCAAACAATCAAAGATCTACTTCCCAAGGCGACATGGGGATATTGTCCAACCAACGATAATCAGGCGGACCTACTTACGAGAGGCTTAAGTGCAACCCAACTTTGTTCTTCAGTCCTTTGGAAACAGGGTCCACCTTGGTTAACGTGCGAGTCCAAGTGGC